ATTGAGCACTCATGCCCCAGGAGCGTCTCTGCAATGTATTAATACCTTTAGGAGCAATTCCGCATCTACTGAGCGCTGCAGCAGCTTGGCTGCTGAGCTAGGCAGCAGGCACAAAGGAAAAGACAGCTCTGCAGAGTCGTACTTGGCCAGGACTTCTGTATTTGTGGAATACCTTATTTACCAGTAGGATTAGGGCAGAGAGACCTAATCCTAATAAGAAATGTGAAGGGTTGCTGAAAAGAAAGCCTAGCAAGGCTAATGAGAAATAAGATGCATAAAAGGAGATAACAATGTCTGGATTACACAAACACAAATCCATAGGATTAAAAGTGCTAGATTCATTAAATTCATGCATCAAGGTTTTTATGCCTGTGGAAACAAAAGGCTCTTGTCACATTACAGAAACACTGTAACGTCTTACTACGCTAAAATGTCTGTGTGGCCAGGAGTCGTCTAGGATGTTGTCGAATGAGGGACTGAGCAGCACCGTGAAGGAGGGGGACACAGGTCTCGTTTAAGTGAAAGGAGCTGACATCCTCTGACGTCCTCGAAAGTGGGCCTCTGTGTGAGACAGTTTACCCGTCCTCCTGTCTTGAAGCACAGCGACAGATGGGGCTTCAAGATCAAAGCCGACAAAGCCCACTGCGGTCTGGCTAATTCCATGGCTCCAGCTTCGTCCCCTCACTTGATATTCCACTTGCCAGCAAATGCGGCTAAAGTGCAACCACAGACCTCCTGGATTCCCGCCTCTGGGGCCTGGTTTGCAGCTCTCCTCAGCGCAGACATCCCACCCTCTTCCCTTAGATCAGCGATCCCCAACCTTTTTGGTACCAGGGACCGGTTTCGAGGAAGACAATTTTTCCTGGGATGGGGCAGGGCTGCTGAGGGGGGAGGTGCGGTGAGCAATGGGGAGTGGCTGCAAATAGAGGAAGCTTCCCTTGCCCGCTGCTCACCTCCTGCTGTGCGGCCCAGTTCCTAACAGGCCACCGACCAATACCCATGCACAGCCCAGGGTTTGGGGACCATAGCCTTAGATAAACCTTTCTCCAAGAGGCCACTTGTGCTAGAAGCCTTCTTCTATTGGCCCCTAGTCCTGGGGAAATTTAGATGACCTAAGCCCTTGAGTTTTCAGAGAAGAGTGAATCTTTGAGGGTCTTGTTATGTCAAGTTAAATATAAACATATATTTATATTGCATGTATATACATATATATACATGTATTTTAATACAGGGTCTCACTCTGCTGCACCGGCTAGAGTGTCAACAACGCAATCATAGCTCACTACAGCCTCAAACTCCGGGGCTCAAGTATCCTCCCTCCTCAGCCTCCCAAGTAGTAGCTGGGACTAAGGTTCACACACCTACACCTGGTTAATTTTTAATTTTTTTTTTAAAGATGGGGTCTCACTATGTTGCCCAGTCTGGTCTCCAACTCCTTACCTCAAGCAATCCTCCTGCCTCAACCTCTCAAAGTACTGGGATTACAGGCGTGAGCCAGTGCGCCTGGCCCTCAAAAATTTAAAGATGCTGCTGCTGGAACTCGAGATATTTCCCTCCCAGAACCCAAGTCCTTGTCATAGCAAACCCAAAGACAGAACAGGGAGGAAAGCCAAGAGACAGCCCTGGCTGACCCTGTGGGAAGCAGGTCCTGGGCTCACAACCGTTCTCACACCCAGGGAGGCTTCCCTGATATTTATCAGTCCATTCCCCTAATTTTATTCTGTCCTGAGCCCCCCCCCCCAGGGCTTTTCTGAGGAATGTTAATGAGAGACTTTTCTAACTAGAACTTATTTGCTAAAACACCAGGCAGGGACGCCCTTGGGGATGAAGAGAGATTCTGAGGCCACAAAGCAGGCTGTCTGTCATACAGAAATCTGCGGTTGGTTGGGGCTCTTCTGTCAGGCTACTGCTACTGCCTAAGCACATCACTATGGAGAAAAGCTAAAAGGCCTCGTTACCAATTAAAACGCCTAATGGAGAAGTCTGCCCTTTGTGAACTCTGAGAATTCTGAGCTTGGAGGATTCCATCCAAGGCCAAGGACTGGCTGCAGACTAGGGCCTCTCAAGCGGAGTGCTTTTCTCTCTGCTTCGTAACCGGTGCCCAGGGACACCCCACTGAGGCCACTGACGTCTTTTATCAACACACAAGATTAGTAAAAGGCTGTTTATAAAAAAAGAAAAAAAGCCCACATATTGTGATGGCTGACTTCACATGTGTTCCCGCATTCCAGGTATAGACTTCCCCTTTGGACCTCCTTTTCAAAACAAAACACAGACAACTCACATAACAACCAAAAAAAAAAAAAAATTTAACAAATAACCCCCAAATAACAAAAAACCACAAAGGATTTCTAAAAGGTTTAGGCCCAGGGCCAGAGGCCCATTCTGGGGTTAAAACAATTCCCAAGGAGAGTGGCAGCCTGTCCTACCAGCCCTGGGGGGGTGTGTTCTCATGAGAGTCTCAGATATGCGTCTAAAAAGCACAAAAGCATCTACAGGTACTTCAATTTTTCTCATGCCACAGTTATCTAGGTCAAGGATTTTATAGCTGCTGTTCTTATCTTTTTGGTCACTGAATCTGAAAAATACAAAAAAAAATCTCTAGAATTTTCCAAAACCCATGACCCATACCTACTTACACACAGATTTCAATACGACCCCCCAAGCCCTCCTGATTAACTAGCTGGAAAGGAAAATGAGGCGAAGAGAGATTGTCGCATTCCTCTATGCCAGAAACAGGCATTTCCCATCTCTGGGGAGAAAGAACGCAAGATTTTCCCTGTGGAATTTCTAGAAGAATCTATTATTGGACTGAAGAAAATGATACCAAACTCTAAATGAGGGTTGTTTATCTACAATTCCTAGCATATCATCAGTAATCCGATATTTTCAATGGAACCAAATGAATGCTAATTGATTCACAACAATATTTCCATATTCTAATTAGCATCTTGACACTTAAAATCACACCTACATCTTAGGCCTCAGACAAGTCGGCTCTTGTTCCATTGCCTTTACTTTCTGAGTGCCTTTAAAATGGCACCAAGACATTTTCTCCACGTCTTCAACTGCCTGTCTCTTGTGTTATTAATTAGCATCTGCCGTAATCAGGAGAAGCAGAGGGGCCAGTACAAATGGAAACATGAGGCTGAACTAGATGGTTTTTAAAATGCAAAACCCAAAGCAATTAGGTACAATCAAATCTCAGCATGGCAAACAAACATCAAAAAGAGGTAATTTCTTCAATATTTTGGCTGCTGAAGTGTTTTCAGGCCAGCTTAACTTCAAAAGCTATTACACTTGACGAAGGAAGAACTACCTCTCTGCCACCCAAGAAAGAAAATAAAAACACTGGACACTGAGTTTTTCAAGGTGGAATTTCCATTCTTCTCATAGCACTGCTAGGGTGGGAATCTAAGATGCCCATGATTGCAAAAACTGCACAATGACATCTCATACCACGAAGAAAGGGGGGGAAAAAAGCTTCCAATTGAACTATGGCTTGCCAGAAACTGTAAGGTGCATCCCAGTACCCAAGACTTTAAATTGAAAAAAAAACAAAAAAACCTGTGCATTTGAAGGATGAAACATGGCAATTATTACCCCTATTGTAAAAATGGAAAAGAACATCACCAGAGAGGTACAGCTCCCCCACACCAAAAGCCCATTTATATTGCCTGGTAAATACTGCCCACTGGTATTTCTACAGCGCAGCAAGTGGAATATAAACCAGTTTCTGTGACATATTGTTATGTACAGAAAGAGATCTTCCAATTATTAATTTCCTACATTGTGTCAAAAAAAAAAAAGCTATGTATTGTTTATATTGCCATTTTTTGTGATAGATAACCTTAAACATTTTAACAGAAATTTGAAAAATGGAACGACGAGGTACTTTTAAAAATACGAGAGTGGTGCATATTAAGTCAGCACAGATATTCTACAGAAGACCAGTCTTATCCACTCTATGTCCCACAGATGCCAAATTCTCCCCACCACACCTCACAGTAAGTAACAAACTGAACAGGTCAGTTTTGCCTCTCTGGGAGACAGAGAATTCCCTACTGTGGTTCTTATGAGTACACATCTTTAAATTATAAATGAGGAATTCACGTCCTATTAAGTCAAAGGTAATTAGTAAACAATATAAAATATAAGATCTAACATTAGGGAAGTTGCCAGGATATAACCCAAGTCTCATGGGAACAGCGAAGATCAGATTTCTCATCTTAATCTTCATGAGGATAGCATCTAGCTCTTCCACATGAGGGAGTTCCTGAAATGACTATTTCGTGGGGGTTTTCTCTCATAAGAAGGATTCCCAAGAGGCTAATGTTTGCCAAGTCAAAATAATTTAAATTTACTAACACTTTAAGGTAAGTTATCCATTTAGGCATGGCTTCAGCAACTGCGTATATCTAATACTATTATTTTGCTTAGGCAGCTTCTCTTTTTTAAACTCACATTGTTTCTAATCAGGTTATGACATTAAAAAGCTAAAATCAAAGAGCCTAGACCTTAAAACTACTACAACTATCTTCTAATTAGTTACAATCAACTATAAAGTACTTAAAATTCAGCCTTACTATTCAGATCAAAGCTTTTTCATCATGGTTAACAACAAATCTGAAAAAGAAAACTTAAAAAAATACACACACAAAAACACACCAAATATTTCTTCTAAAAAGGTATATCACGCTCTGAAACTGGTTCCAAGAATTTTAAAACACAAGCTTAAAAAAAAAAAAAAAGTGAAAGCCTCATAATGTTTCCTTTTAAAGTAGATTTCCCTATGGCTTAATGATACCATTCGAAAGCAGACTAAAAGTCTAAAGGGACAAAGGGAATTTTTTCATTTAATGTCAGGTTATAATAATGTCATATCCATTTCCAACCATCTACAATGAAAGGACTTTGGAGAAACCAAGTCTGTGAGTAACCACCCCCCAGGAGGCTGTGTCCTTAAAGACCAGATCTTAGCTGACTGTCATAAATCTTACCTTCTGCATGTTTGGCTTGATACAGCGAACAAAGAAAGGATTAGAGGAGCTTAGTGTTGCCATTAAGGAATGCAGCGAGTCCTATTAGAAAGGAAAAAGTATATGTTGATTTAGTCTCTTACTATGTCATTCTTTAAATTTCTCAGCACCCTAGGCACTTATCAGAAACAAGAATAAAAAACAAAACAACATAAATCATAGGAATAATAACTTAGAGTTTTTCATTTTAAATTATCATTCTTACATAAAACAAAGCAAAAGATATAATTTCTTATAATTGAAATTATTCCACAATATACAAAACTCATTTATCGCTTCCTTTATATAGTACCTTTAAAAAAACCCATTCTGTTAATAAATGAAAACAACCCTAAGATATTTCAATGTTTAGTACAGAAAACCTGAGAAGTATCCACTCTTTCACTATAATCATTCCTCCTAATTCATTATTTCCATCAAAACGACAGCCTATGCCAGCACTTCATTGGTTTCTGAGCTGTAGTCTCTCACTTTTACCTTCAAATCACCAGGCCCACAGATACCAGATCAATCTATAATACTAGTTTCTTTTATTTTTCAATTTTTTTTTATTATGGAGACTTTTCAACATTTACTAAAGCAAACATAAGCCTTGTCACCAGCTGTGGCTCATGGCTAATCTCATTTCATCTGATCTCTGTCCCCATATACACTACACCTTCACCTCTTGTGGAAAAGCAAATCCCAGACATCATGTGATTTCACCCATCAATATTTCAGTATATATCATTAAAGACAGCACTTTAAAACTCATAACCACAATACCATCACACCTGCAAAGATTTAACATTAATTCCTCAAACTAATATTAAAATGTGCGATGGTTTCACATTTCATATTAAAGTGCTCAACTGCTACAAATTTCCTAATTTTTAAATGGTTTGTTCTTTTGCATCAGAATGCAAATATAGTTCATGAATTGGAGGTGGTCGACATATCTTTTAAGTCTTGTTTAATCCATTGGTTTTCCCTCCATCTCTCTCTTTTTTTCTTCTTATAATTTTGTCACTAAAGAAAACTGGATTGTCTATAACACTACATTGATTAGTTACCTCTTCAGCTCAGAAAGCTTTAGGATTTCTCAGACAACAAAACGTCTTGGCATTCACAGCCCTTCACATTCTGGTACCAACTTTAATTCGCACATGGTGTCCTGTCTTGCTGTTGTCCTGTAGTCTATTGACAGCCCTTAGAAAGGGGACTCACACTCCTGTCTCTAGACTCTTCTCCTGTCCTTGGCTCTGCCTGGAAGGCCTGCCCACCCTTTGTCATTTCCCTCACCCTCAGCCCAGTTTAAACCTCAAATGCTCACAAAACTCTTCAGGAAAACTCCAGGTAAAACTGACCTTCTAGAAAAAAAAGACTGAACACCTCCACAGGAAGATTAAGAGCCTGGGTTTTAGAATCTGACACACCTAGGTTCATTTCAAACCCTAGATTCAGTTCTTTGTGGGACCTGTCTCTAAACCTCAGTTTCCTCATCTATAAAATGGGGACAATATGTACTCACAGAGTTGTGCGGGAAGTGTGCAACACCATGTGTATCAAGTGATCAGCCCAGTGACTGGCACACAATAAGTACTAATAAATGGTAGCTATTAGCAGGATGTCCTAGCAGGGTCAAGTCACCCTTCATACTGCCTTGCCCAGCACCACCAGCTACGGTGGTGAGACTGGTTCATCTCCCCACACCACAAGACAGGCCTCCCACAGAACGCAACCCCTGCACCCCCGGGAGTAACCAATGACAGACAGCCTCGCAGAGGGCAGATTTAATAAGTGCCTGCAGACGGACATGCCTCCGTTTCCCCTTCCTATTGGGATTTTTCACTTGAGGATAAAACAGACAAGTTAGGGAAATGGACTTCTTATGCTTTACCTCTAAACTACATAAAACATTTATGTATTTAAAATGCAAATAAGAATGTTGCTTATTTTCCCTGAATTCTGAACCTCTGGATGAGATAACTGTCATCGATCTATTTAATTACACGCTTGGTCAATATTCCCAGCTATGACACTATAAATACACCTGGGAAAAATGCAACCCTCCATACATGGTTAGAAATACACCCTGTGAGCTTCTAAATACAAGTCAGAGGGCTCTCAAATGGCCTTAAGAAGATTGTTATTCCGAAAGCTTAGAATAAGTAACTATTTCTTATTTTTTAAAAACGGATCTACAAGTTTTCCTCTGACTCAACAACAACAAAAAAAGTCTATTTTGTATCTGGAGCACTGTCTGGTTTAAAAGCATGCTATAAAACAGAATTAAATAAATATTCTCATAGACCTCACATACACCCAATCCTCTTTTCAGTCTGTAAAATCATAGCAACGATGGATTCCTCAAAGCCAGCCGTGGAGACTAACCTTGAACTGCGAGCTGACCGTGGGCCGCCGATGTTTGCTTCCACATTTCAAGGTGTCCTGGTTGTTGCGGCTTGAAACGTGTTCAAAAAGGTCATAGATGAAGTCGAATCTGTGTGAGGCCAAGGCAGGAGGATAATGAGGTGTACATACCCATCATTAGGTGCCAGGTTACTGTAATTAGGGTGCACTTTCCCACTGATAATTGAGAGTAACACACCGAGGCCTGGAAGAACTTAGATGCTTCCAAAGGTTTCAAACCGACCATTGCCAAAGAGCTTCAGGCACTGAAAACACGTGCCAGTGTCAGAGACCAGAGTCCTACAGGGAAGCAGACCGGCATGACAGTGACCCAGGGTAGCACCCCGCTTAGGAGTGCTGTGCCTCTTAGAATGCCACCTAAGCCTCTGTGACCTCAGTTTCCTCGCCTGCAGAAGCCAGATATCTGCTTTGCTCATTTCAGTATTGCGGAGATCCAAGCAGTTAACCAACAGAAAGGTGTTTCTGAGGAATACTTTAACTCTGGGGTAGGGAAGACTAGGGTTTAAATCCTGCCTTGCCTATTTCCTAGCTGTGTTGCTGGACAAGGCACTTCATTTCTCTGCAGGTCTCAGTTTTTTCATCTGGAAAATAGGGCTAATTTTCCAATGTATCCCTTAATGCTGGGGTGAGAATGAAATGAGAAAACGTATACAAAAGGCTGAGACCTAATATGCCCCAGTTCATAGCTAGCTAAGTGACAGGGTGGCCATTTGGTATTTACATTTATTTCTAAAAGAATTACAGCTTTCAGCTGGGCTCCACAGCTCACACCTGTAATCCTAGCACTTTGGGAGGCTGAGGTGGGAGCAATTCTTGAGGCCAGGAGTGCAAGACCAGCAAGACTGAGACTTTGTCTCTACAAAAAATAGAAAAAATTAGCTGGACGTGGTAGTGAGTGCCAGTAATTCCAGCTACTCAGGAGGATGAGGCAGGAGGACTGAGCCCAGAGTTACAAGTTACAGTGAGCTATGATGACATCACTGCACTGTAGCCCCGGGTGACAGAGGGAAAGCCTGTCTCTAAAAAACAAGCACCTCCTCCTTCCCCCAAAATCCCAAGAGCCCCCCAAAACAAACAAAACATGATTACAGCTTTTTAACAGTTTTTCTACTTTCCCTCCCTAGATATTAAAAATTTGTTTTTGTCACAGATTCCCATTGGATCTGATGCAGATATTGAAAGCTTTAAGGGAAGGGTTTTTTCCAAACTCTCTCTCTCTCTCTCACAAAGCCTCCCCAAAATAGGACACTTCCTGGATACATACAAATAGCTAAACTAATCATTAAAAGTTTCTGAATGTTTTCCTTAACTATTGATTTAATGGTGTGATTTTATAATTCATGAATGAATAAATGAATGTTGTAATGAATCTATAATTTTAGCTGAATTTAAGACTTATTTATTTTCCTTGACATCCTTATACAAACTGGAGATGCATGGGTCCTATAACACCAAAGCTAAAATCAATTTGACATATAGTGCTAAGCTAAGCTTTTTATAAAGAAAGTAGGTTATACTGATTAAGACCTTAGGATCATGAGCCAAGCAGACCAGATCAAAACTAAGCTCTAGAGCTCACTGGTCACCAGTTAAGGCTCTTGGGCAAGTCACATAACTGCTCCAAGCCTCAGTTTTCTCATCTGCATAATAGGATTAGTAACAGTACCTTACTTGTGAATGTGCTATTTATTTCAGTAGTTCATTAAATGGCAGTCACCATTACTATTATTATTTTATAATTTTGAGTCATTTTATTGATGAAATATTACTTGCAGACCACATCAAGTTTCTCAGATAATAGTAATATGCACTATGTTTTTGAATTAAAAGCATTTGCACAAACATTAATTTGTTTGCTAATGACTTCTTGGCAATGAGGCTGACATACCGGCTTTCTCTTAGCAAGTTGAGCAGGTCATCTCGAAATGTATCTCTGTTCTTTTCCAAGATACCTCGGACATCATACTGCACCTAGTTTTATAAAATAAGAAAGAGGTGAGAATTGATCAAAAGAATAGTTACAGGTCATAAGCAACTCCTTTCAGAGCTAGACCCCTGATAAATCATTTTTATGATTTTTTTTTAAGAGACGGAGTCACAGTACATTGTCCAGGCTGGACTCGAATACTTAGGCTCAAGTGATCTTCTTGCCTTCAGCCTCCTGAGGAGCTGAGCAAGTTAATAAATTTATGATTGGCCTTTGAAACTACTATTTTCTCCGAATACCAAACAGGCAAATATGAGTAAGTATCGTAATAAGAAGTTACCTCTCCAGCGTAGTGTTTCACTCCAAAATTGTTGATTGCAACTCTGGGTTTCACATAAAAGTGGTTATTCTAATTAAAAAGAAAAAAAAAAAGACTTATTTCATTCACTGATTGACTTCCAAAGAAAACTAAATACGAAGGACAGTGAAAACAATTTTAAAACTTGCCATGTATCAGAATTTTAGGATATAGCACACTTAGGATATGGTACACTTTATCAAAACCATGGAACTCTTGACAATGTCATTACAATACATTAAAAATTTAAGCTCTCTGCTCATCCAATAAACTTGGGCATTTTCCGTCCAGTAGCCCCGAATCTAACCCTTTGTTTCAATTTAGCTTTAGTAACAGGAGAACAGCTTTGGTTTGGGAAAAAAATTAAATGTGGGAGGCACAGTTTGGCCAACAACACAGCACTGACAACAGCACATCTTGTATATAATCTCAACCCACAGATTTGCTATTCAGACAGGAGTCAGAATTGGCAGGTTTTGACTTACAGCATGTTGACTGTGTAGCTTCTCCAATAAGGTGCTGTCTGTGGCTTGAGGGAAGTGGCTTTCTTCATTGATAAGGGCCAGGAGGCCAAGTTTCTAGAAGAAGGGAAGAAAAGACTAAATGAATTAAAAGGTGAATGTCTGCCTCTCAAAGTATTTTAGAGCTCCTCTTTCACTCTCTATCAAGTGAGTAGTTAAAAGAAAAGGTACAGTAAGTTCTTGGAATAAAAAATTCAAAATGATAGACTCTAAAGAAATCCAATTCATTTAAATGTTATATAAATCTGTTTTAAAAGCTGAACCCACTGCAATTTTGTGGATAAGACTTTTACAACTGGCAAACCTACTATTGGTACTGGCATGGCTTTGCTGTTGACTTAAAATCTAAGGGAAGCCAATTCACACACTGGCGAGTCTAAAAAACTGAGTTCAATGAGACAATAGGCTTGAAGCAGCCAAGTATTTAAATTCAACCTTGCACATTTACATTTATGTTTCCAAATGGCCCATTGTGTTCTAAACATTCACATCTTTGATGTACGTGTTCGCACAAGTTATTTTGTTCCCATAAATATGAATCAGTCCAGCTGGACACCCTTGGGACTGTACCCATTCTTTAAAAATACATTACCTTCTCAATCAAGTCTAGGCATTCTCCATTGTCTATCCAGTCAATATCTTCCCACACTAATCCTTCCCTGTATAAAGATTTAGAAGGGCCGAGTTAAATTAAAATATCACTTAAAAATTAGGAGACTTAGTTGCTGATTTCTTAAAGATTTGAAATGGAATCCTGAGTGCTTACCGGCTATACTCTAGTTGTTCTAATGAAAAAATATGCTTGTTGAAGTATTCCTGAAGTTTTTCATTTGCATAGTTTATATTGAACTGTTCAAAGTGATTAACCTGAGGGGGGGAAACATTCAAACAGGAATCTTTAGTGCCCTCATAATTACATACAAAAGTGAAGAAAAGACAAAAAGAAAATTATTCTGCAGAGAAAAATATCAATGTTTGCAAGAGATCAGTTTAACAGCAACTCATAAATGGACAGAGCAGAATTCACGTGTCCCAGTCTTCAGAAGCCTACCTCAAAGTTCTCGAATCCGAAGATGTCAAGGATGCCGATAGACTTGAAATCATCTTTGCCTTTGATCCGACTGTTGATCTTCTTGATCACCCACTCGAAGCAGCGTGCGTACAGGGCCATGGCCAAGGAGTCTCTGCTGTCTGCTGCCTGTGGGATAGGAACATGCAGGCCCAGGTGACCACGGGCACCCCAGGCAGGCAGGTCCATCCCTGCCCTACCTGGGAGACACACATGAAACTAGGGTAGCACCTGGGCCCCTGATGTGAAGTAAATCAATATAGATATCTAAAGAAAGGATAAACTGGAGCTCACTTACTTACGCTCAGAGTCACCATGAATTCCTTTAAATACTGGGCTTCCAAATTCAACTATCTTTTTTTTTTTGAGACAGTCTCACTTTGTTGCCCAGGCTAGAGTGAGTGCCATGGTGTCAGCCTAGCTCACAGCAACCTCAATCTCCTGGGCTCAAGCGATCCTACTGCCTCAGCCTCCCGAGTAGCTAGGACTACAGGCATGTGCCACCATGCCCGGCTAATTTTTTGTATATATATTTTTAGGTGGTCAATTAATTTCTTTCTATTTTTAGTAGGGACAGGGTCTCACTCAGGCTGGTTTTGAACTCCTGACCTCGAGCAATCCGCCCAGCTCGCCCTTCCAGAGTGCTAGGATTACAGGTGTGAGCCGGCCCAAATTCAACTTTCTATGTTGAGTTATATGAAAGAATCTGAGCCTCTATATATATATACAGGTATAAATGTTATCAGGTTTAAAACAATAATTAAGAACTGAGTTTTTTTTAATTGTCATCCTCTCAGTTCTGTTTTGTACACATAAAGGTTTTCTTCACGAGAAGGTTAGCATTTTTTACTTATCCAATTAAGAGACATATTAGGAGGGCTCACACACAGAAATTGGCTCAAGGCAGTAGCAGAGGTAAAAATAAATACAACATACTGTTGCATTGTTTCCATTCATTATAATAATGACAATTATTGTAGCTACTGTTTACTTAGTGTTTATTCCATATGAGACATTAAATACCTAGCATGTATTTACTTTTATCCTTACAAGAATCTTATGAATTAGGTATGATAATTTTCCTAGTTTTACAGAGAAAGAAACTGAGGCACAGTGAATAAACAGACAGTAGTAAGCGCAAGGATCAAGAGTCAAACTCAGGCAATCTGCGTTAGACAATCACCCCCTTACACACCAGGTTACACTGTCTCTCAGACCGTAATACAATGGTGTTGTCTATTCCCAATACTGGTATATTTTGATCATGAACCAAAGTCATTGGAACAATTCACCGTAGTTACTTTTTCAGATCCAAGCCATGGACCTGAAAACCCAGGAGCGACTTTTAAGACAAGCTTTGATGGCAAAGGGTGTGCACCTGCTGAATGTTGAGGGGCGTGAGGATCTCTTCTCCCCTGAGGAACATCGATCTCTGGGTCAGAGCATCTGTGAGCCGCGCTGGGTCCAGCCCGAGTAACTCCGCAGACCTGCCCAAAGCTGAAAGTGAGGAATAACCAAGGGTGAACACACAGCCCCCAGGAAGCTAACCACACACAGCAACTCCTACAAGCAGAGAACATTCCTGAATCCCTCAGGCAGAATTCACAGGACACACATTTTATTGCTAAGTTATTCACTCCTGCTGTGACTCTAGTTAGTAGCACAGAACCTGGTGCTTGGACAAAGAGTGTGATCTGGTAACCCCATGGGGTCTCCAAGACCCTGTCACAGGCTTGCAACTATTTTTCATTAGTAACAATAAGATGCTATTTGCTTTTTCACTCTCATTTTCTCACCAGCATACAGAAGAGTTTTTCAAAGGCTACACAATACGAGATATTTGAACAGATTAAATGCAGAGGCAGATAATGAGAACCCAGCTGTTTTTGACAATGTCAGACATTAACAAAATTTGCAAAAAGATAAGACAATCACTATTCTCATTGACTTTTTCTGTTTTGGAAAATAGTCTTTTAAATGAAAAATAATATTTATTTTAATAGGCAATGGGTTTATTATTATTTTTTTAAAATGATGAATGAATGTTTTTTTTAAAATATCTCAGCTTTAACTTCTAATGCAGTAAACATCAACAGATACGGCCCACATAAACAAAAGTTCTCTGGGGACCCTATGACTATTGAGAAGATTAAGACATACTAAGTGGAACCAACCGTTTGAGAACTACTGACCTACAGTAATGGGTTCCTCTAGAACCATTTGGAACTTGAACTCATCGAATTCTCAGATGCCATGACCTCCTATCTTGCTTCCATCAAAAAAGTTTTAAAAATAAATACATAAGTCACAACTGGAAAATGACAACTGACATAGCCATATGTGTATCAACACATTTTACCTTGACAACAAACCGGTACAGGTGAGCAGTCACCAGTGTCGAGGGGATAAGTAACACAGGAAACAGCTTGTGGCCCGGCTGGGCTATGAACCCAGCATTCTGGCTTGCAAAGCTAGAGAGAGATTTCCTGGACATTTCATACGTATTCACCCACATAAATTTATCTCCACTAACACTCATAGCTCTACTCCACACATTCTGCATACAAACTATCTTGAGCCCCAAGTAGAATGCTGTCTTCTTTCCGGGCTCTGATTCCCACGCCACATTTGGGAAAGGCGCTTTAAATGACCGATTTAGGTATATATGAATCACCATAAATTTAGTGCATTTTAAAATATTAGAAGGAAATAATTGGACAAGACTCTACTAAAACACAACAGGGTCGGGAATGCTGCTATTATAGCTCTTCCATTTCTCCAGCAGAACTGCGGGGCTTGTATCCTGATTTGTTCACTGTGGTCTCCCAGGTGCCTAAACAGTGCCTTGGTCACAGCAGGCTGTTCAAAACATGCCGATTGTAGTTAAAATTCTAACGCTCACGGCAAGCAAGAGGTTAGTATTGTTTAATGAGCCATATCTGTGTCACTCTTGGCTGCAGAACACTGCATACATAGGCTGGCTGGTATTTGAATAGATAATGACACTTGTGTTATATTCTTGTACTATGCAAATCATGATTTAAGAATGTAATTGTATAGTAATCACATAACCATCAAAGTTGATTAGTGTCTTGTAAGGAGAATATTATGACATGGAGATGATAGCCGAATAAAAATAAAACTCTATCAGAAGTTCTGATACCATCGATAATCTTATTTACATGTTAGGCATAAGTTAAGATTGAACGTGTTTCAATCTTTTGGTCTTCTGTGCTCCTATACTATGGTTTGCAAACTCAGACCTTTTGAGAAATGACTAATAAAATGATTATTTTTTTAATAACCAAAGGATTATACGGCTACTGCCTCAGCTCAAGTGCTAGATGTTTACAGTGTTGTCTTCTGCTTGACTCGCTCATATTCCTTACATAAGACCCATGTATCGGAAAGTTTGTGTCCGTACTTACTTATAAAATCTAATGTTTTAGAATAATATAGTTCTTACATGTCTGACTTGCTACAACAACACAGAAAACAGGGATTTCATTTTCATCGATAGGATGGACCTATTATTTTCAATCTACTATTCCCCAATTGATTCCTCATAGGTTTGGAAGGAGAGAATCATATTGTACATAGAAAGGGATATTTTTCTCCTCCTTCTCTACCAAAATTGCTTAGTTATTTTTCTTTCTTTTTTGCTGCCTGCTTAGAATTATCATTTAAAACAGTACAAGGTTAAATAATAATCGCAAAAGTGTCATGCTCAGGATCGTAATAAATACCAGCTAAGTTTTTACTGATTTTCTGGGGAGCCAACACTAAAAAAGTAACTGCAAATTAATGTTTAAAAATCTATAAATTATAGATCTATAATGTATTCTGTGAATAGGTACATCAACTAGAATAAGTTTGTTAGGTACATTTGTTATGTCATTCATGCTAGATCTCTCCTTTCACAATAATTGACATTCCTTTTGTCATAAGATCAAATTTGAAGTGGCAAACCTATTATTTCAATTTAACAATAAAAGCTATAGCATGACCGAATTAAGCCAAGCCTCAAAGTGTACTTGTAGCTAACAAAAAGGACAGACAGTTCTGATTGGAGAATGGTGCCCAGAGAGGAAAGAGAGTGTAACACCATCCGGTGTGTGATTCTCAGGCTCTCCCAGGACAAGCATCCTTCACTGGCAGTTTAATCTTTTGGATGAGTTCCTTGCTTTTTACAAGATTCAAATTACGTATGTTGGATAGCTGAAATTCCTCTCTCTTCTAAAGGAGGAAACATGGCAGTGCACTCACTACTCCATCACCTTGCCAAAGTGCTCTCCTAAATATGGTGGCCAGTAGATAGGCGAGAGCACTGGTTACGGGACCAAACAACTTGGTAGCAGGAGGAGCAATTGCGTTAGATATGTAATAGTCTTGTCTTGAACCCTTTCACCACAAGCTAGTTTGTGTATCAAGCTTCAAGAAAGAACAAGAAAAAACAACAAAATGGGAGAAAGAGATCAATCCTTGAGACAAGTCCTTGTTCTTGCCGCTAGATCATTAAGAAATAAACACATAGAGTGCTATATATTTCTACCAATTAATATTCGGCTAGATAAGTAAATAAAATGAACTGCGAAGGTAAAGCAACGATTGCAGCAAGTAGAAGTAAGTCTTAAGGAGCCCCACGCCATACATCCATATAAACTAGGGAGCAGCACTAAAGCTAGCATCCGTAAGGGCTCTTTTAGATAGAAAGAACACCTTCATAAAATCCATACTTGGTCAGGTAAATAGGCGTCACACCTGGAGTACTAAGCCCTCTAAGGTAGGTCCGAGGACGGAGGTTTGCTCAAGTTAGGTAGTTCGAACCTGCAGGCAAAAGGAGCGAGACGCAATTAATTAACGAGGATTAACAGAGGGACCATCACTCTATCATAAATCAAATAATAGAAAGATTAATTAGGGACAACTAAAAAAAATTGGGTGTCCACTACCTTATTAAAGGAAAAAATTAGCAGGCATGGTAGGCGCCATTGTGATATGCGTCTACAGTCAGCTAAATCTGGTGGCGTAGTTGTAGGCAGAAGTGACAGTGGGCAGAGACCAGGAGATTTGAGTGTTGCGTGCTGAGAGCCAGGACTGACGCCTATACAGAGCACTCTAGCTGGGCGACAGAGTCGCGAGACACTCTGTTGCTACAGAAAACAAGAAAAGCCAATCTTATTATAGGGACCAAAAACTTTCACACATCATATCGGGTATTGAGAACCCCTAATATGGTCTGCTGTCTGTTGTAGAGAGTTAATTATGGTTACAGCTTTAAAGAGAGGAGAGATTCATGCGTGTGGATAAAACGTATAGGAGGGTGTATGCTGTTGTTTTTCATTGAGGTATGGTTATAGGAGTGAAGGAGGCTGATCACCAACTTCTCTGAGTCTTAGATAGAATAAAACGACACCACACTTCCTATACTCAGTGTTGGCAAGAGCAATCAGAGAGAAAAGTCCACGTAAAGTTCAGAAAAGTACTCGATAAATCTTAGTTGCATTTACGATGATTAGGATTACAATGATGATGAAACAGCCCTGGCTGCACTGCATCCCACTGTTCTAGTAGGACTCTGGCAAAGGAATTAACAGCACAAGGATGAAATCTCCTGGCTACCCTCAGTCAGATGGGGCTGTTAATAATGTTCATGACCAGGCTTCTTAAATGCAGACACCTTGTAACAAAGCCCTCGTGACATATTCCAGAACTGCAAGACACTGAGGCATGCCGTGCTTCAGAGTCTTAAGATGACCACTGCTCATGTGGTCAGAAATGGCTGTCACAACGAGGGCATGAGAACAGGATGAAAACCCAGCGGTCACCTGGTCCAATGGCTAATAATAGATTTGTTTTTAGCCGTGGAATCCATTTGTCAAAAGAAATCTTACTTGTAAGCTCAAAAATGGAAGATCTGCTTGCTCCAGTGTGAAGCCTGTGATATTTTTGTTTCTTGGGATGGAGGCTATATATTCTGAACACAATGTTCCCAGTGAACTACCCACCTGCCCTGAATGACACAGACATTCACTCATCTTCTAAAAAAGGGGATTCCTCAAATTCCCTTCCAGCCTGGAAGAAATCATGATTTGGAACAAGAAGGAAATATCTATTATTACACACTGGTCTAAATGTAATTAGTTCTGTTTTTTTTTTTTTATTTTAAGAGAAAGAAAATGAAATCAGTCACTCTTAATAAGGAAAACTTAAAAAGTAACTTACAATAACATCCCTAAAGGATTCCTGGTCACTGATTGTCTTGTCTTCTATACACCCAGATTGATTCAAGTAGTGGTAGTTTTCTGGCACAGATAAATAAAATTCTTCTACAGAAGGAAAGAAAAATGTAACATCACAGTTGGCAAAGATAAGATGAAATACAAAAGACTTTTCACTCTATCATGTAAAAAAAAGTATATACATAATTCTATACCCCTAACAGCCCACTATTGAGATAGTAAAGTTACCTCTTAATTATCATTTATGTAAAATAGAAAAAATTAAGTTAAACTAAACAGGATGGTAGAAAATATTACTGCAGAAAAAAATCATGAGAGGCCGGGCGTGTGGCTCACGCCTGTAATCCTAGCACTTTGGGAGGCCGAGGCGGGCGGATTGCTCAAGGTCAGGAGTTCGAAACCAGCCTGAGCAAGACCCCGTCTCTACCAAAAATAGAAATAAATTAATTGACCAACTAAAAATATATATAAAAAAATTAGCCGGGCATGGTGGCGCATGCCTGTAGTCCCAGCTACTCGGGAGGCTGAGGCAGGAGGATCCCTGAGCCCCGGAGATTGAGGTTGTTGTGAGCCAGGCTGACGCCACGGCACTCACTCTAGCCTGGGCAACAAAGTGAGACTCTGTCTCAAAAAAAAAAATCACTGAGGATCCAGTTTTATTGTTTTTTTCTTTAAAGATCAAACTTTTAGAAATTAGCTTTAATTGGGTGTGGTTTAACAGTCAAATCAGCTATAATGTATTTTTCATAAATATCCTTTAAATTAAAATGTACCCAGACTCAAAAAGTTCAAGATTTTGTTCTATTGATATTTTCTCCCTCTATTATTTGGCCAAAAGTGAATTAGCATCTTGTGGTATTCTCATATACATTTCACAGCAATTGGTGGAATGTCAACATCATCAAAAACAGATTCTACTTACTTACTGATGTTTTTTAAACGGAAAATGAGTTGCCACTTCATATTTCTCTGCTGTTGTCCCCTCTCACTCACTTTCTCTTCTGTTTCAGCCCTGCCAGCAGTGCATAAAATATGTGATAATTCCTTTCCCGGATTTTGTCTTACTACTCGGTTCTGTGGAGATAAATCAGATTTCTAGTCAGCAACGTCTTCTTTGCTTAATTCACACAAACCGTAATTTCTGAAATTGTTTTTGGAAGAAAAAATTAACTGTGAATTAATCACATCTACTTACTTTCTCTAATAAATCTTCATGGTGAAAAGTAATGGTAAGTCAAGGAACAAACGAGGACATGCTATGCTCAATTAGTCTTTCATTTTCTATCTTTGTTACCAATAATTATAGCTACTGTTCCTCTGGCACCGAAACTTCAGAGTCAGAAGACAAACAAATCATAGACTATTTCATCTAAATCCAAGCCCAAACATGACACTCGGTACCCTATCAGCTGCCAAACTATTTGACAGAATTGATTACAAACAAAATATCTGACGTTAATTGAGGCATTCAATTTTTCAGATTATGGACATGATATCAGAGATATCCAAAAGAAATATGGTTTCTTTGTCTCACAGAATCATTTTCAAATATTTTTATTTTATTTTTTCAGGAGACAGGGATCTCGTTACGTTGGCCAGGCGGCCTCAACTCTGGGCTCAAGCTGAACTACCGCCTCAGCCTCCTGAGTAGCTGGGACCACAGGCGTGCGCCACATGCCGGCTCACAGAACACCACACAGGTAAGTACACTGAGATCAGAGCACTAACTGGGCAGAATTAGGCACAAAGAACGTTTCACGTTCTTTTTCGGTCCTTATGATAAGCGGCATAGTTTCCCGTAGAGAGTCGCAGGAACTAAATGAAACAGGATACAATCTACGATCTTCCGCCCTGGATGTTTCCCTTCTGACAGATGTTCAGCTGAACGAACTTCCGAAGCGACTGGAGTTGTTGTTGTACACCGTCTTCGCGTTGCCGAAGGCTTCCATGACGGGGCTGTGGAGAAGCGGGGGCACACACCGCGTTAGTCAGGCGAAGGGAGGCGGCAAGCGCCTTTCTCACTAACGTCAAATCACACAATTGCGGGAAAAACCCGAACCAAAGGGACTAAGGTGACCACTTGTGTTTTCTGAAGAGACGGAGTTTCAAAACACTTGCCAAACGGGCTTATCCGTACCCACGTGGCGAGAGAGCGAGGCTGTGCGGGCAAAGGACGTTTCTCAGTAAGGAGGCCGCGGCGGGGCTCCCCCACGGGGGCGATCCAGGATAGCACAGAAACAGCCCTACCGGATTCTAGAAACGACCAAGTCCCAGTCCTGGAAATGTCACCGTTTGCTCTATGCCCTGGGACACCTTATTTAAGCGCTTGGGTCTTTTCCAACTATAAAACGGACTCAGGCTAGATCAGGGTCGGCAGACACGTTCGTAAAGGACCAGAGAGCGATGGCTTTAGGCTTTGCAGCCACGCCTCTGCCGTAACTGCTCAGCTCAGCTCTGCGCCGCGCGCTCGGGAGAGCTGTGAACGCCACAACGTGAGTGTGCTGGCCCGACTAAACTTTACATACAAAAACATACAAAGAGAGATGCCCATATGGATGGCAGCGACAAAACATACAAGGAGGGAGATGGCGTCCCAAGATGGATGGCAGTGACAGCTGCACAACTTACTGCCACTGAGCTGTACACTGAAGAATGGTAAAATCATAAACTTTATGTTGAGTATATTTTATCACAATTAAAAAAAAAAAGAAGTGTCTGAGTGTTAAAAACAAACGAATAACAGGATATAGGATATAGGCACCAGGCTGTAGTTTGCCGCTCTCCAAACGAAACTCTGAATAACAGATCTGTTATTTAGGTAAGTCTCTATCGGTTCTAAAGTATTAAGGCACAAACCATGTATCGGCAAGTATATATTTTAATAACAACTCAGACAATACCGAGTCGTCTTTGAAGCTCTGCTAGATCGTTGAAAAGATCTGCTAGATCGTTGACCTTCTGCCGTGTGAGGCCACCCTGCTCACATTAAGCTCCAAATGGCTGGAGGGGAACTGAGCCGGCTGTCTCCACGCTGAGCCTTCGTGTATTGGCCAGGGTCGCATTCCTGCTGCGCTGGCCGTGTCAGCTTTATCTTCCCACTACCTCCACTAGCAGCATTCAATCTGACCGCCCTACAAGCGACGTGACACTGCAGTCAGGGGTCTCGGGTGGGGAGGCTGCAGACCACCCTGGCACCACTCAGCCCACCTTGAACCCGCCAACGAGGAGGGTCAGGCACTCCAACCGCAAGGAGCTGCTGCTGAGGCTACAGAAAGTGCTATGTGCACGTCGAGACCTCCTCTTAAAAACCGTAAAAGAAATCCAGAAAAGAGAACAGACCGACTAATTTTAACTCTCCTTAAGTAAGCCATGCCGTGAGGAACGTGATACTACCAGGTGAACAAGACACACGATAAAGAAATACCTGCTCTCAAGAATAGCTTGTTCAACAGGACGTCTCTCCTTAGGACAATTCCAAAGACTGTTGACTGATGACCGAGAGAAACTTGAGGATCAGTTTAGTGTTTCGGTTTGCTGCCACTTCACCACTGAAAGACAAAACACAGAGTTTGTGCTTCTGAGTATAATTAAACAAAACAAAACACAAGACATCTTTGGTCAATGGCACTGTAATTCCTCAAATAGAAATACTGTTGAAAAAAAGGAAAGGAGGAAATAAAATGCCTGTTGTAAAGAGTGAGTTACCTTTGCACTAATGCTTTTCTCGATTCCTTTTATTCTACTTGGGATTTAAGTTTTAAAATCCCCAGATTTTACCACAGCCAGTAGTAGAATATAAAACTGGAGTTTTTTTTCATACAAACTTATTTGGATTTTTTTATATTCAAATATTGATATTCAAAGAGTAATTAATCTCTATATTTTGCTAACCGGTCGAGTCCACTCGACATCTGAGTGCAAAGGGTTAAAATCAAGTAAAAGTCTTTTTCCTGTGGGCCCCCGTTTCTGGCCTCCCACATACTCTTCTGTGCAAAGGGGAAAACAGAATTACTAAGGGAAGCTTGGGACAGATGGAGCCACCCGTGGATGACAAGCGGGCGAGATCGGGTCTCTGTGCGTCCAGACACCTCAGCGGTGGCCCGGCTGGTGGCAGGGACTCGGCAACGTTCTTAAAGGACAAGCACATTCACAGCATCTTTTCTGGGAGACTTAAAGCAGGTAAACACCTGTGAAAATGTGATCATTCATAACAATGCTTGAGGGCACGAGGCATGAACCTGCAGTAACATAATGCACTAAATTATTTCATTCGCAATAACCCGACGAGGGAAGGCAATGACTGAGTATCAGGTCGTAAAACCTCCCGGAGAGAATCCCCATGCGCTCACGTAGCTATAAATACGGAGAAAATTAC